TCAGCAGGAGCTGGGAGAGGGAAAGAACAGACTCTTCCCTAGGCCCTCCAGAGGGAATGTGGGCTGCCTTACATCCTGATCTCAGACTCCTGGCCTCCAGAATGGAGAGTCCCTGATCCTATGGCGTACCCTTCCCTCCTCATAAATTCCCATTTCGTTCACACAGTTTGAAGTGCACCCCCATCACTGCAGTCAGGCTTCATGCAGGCATCCACCCAGGCAGTACTTACTACCGTCTGCCAGCCTCCTCTCTTAACGCTGCTCTTCAGCCCAGAGTGGCTACCACACTGTCATGGCACCACAGAAAACAACCCTGGGTCTTTCGGAGCACACCCTTTGTTGCCGTTATTTCCAATAAAGAAACAGCTTTTGAAAGTCTCTGGAAAAAAGTGAACCCTGCGGATAGGTGAAGCTATTCTCTTATTTGTTTAGAAACCTGGATTCACTCTAATTTGTCCACCTTCCAACCTCAGCTTCATCCTGGCACTCGCTGCGATATACAAATAAGGACTAAAAAGCATGGATAAAAGGCCATGAGAATCAAAGAGCCTCCAAGTCTTTCTATTCCTATTTTAACACAGCCTGTTCTGTGCCCTTCAGCCCTTGTAGATGGTGTGTGGATTTTTCTAGACTTTTCCTCAATCTCCCATTCTTGTCCCTCCCCACAGGCTCATCTCAGAGGGATGGCCCAACTCCAGTCTTTCTCCCTGGGGTTATTTGAAGATCCTTGCGCATTTTTTTCGGACACAGTCCCAGCTGTTTTCTCTTTCCCGTTCTCCTGTCTCTATCTTCTACCTTCTGCTCTGTGTCATCAGGCTTTTCCCCTCTTGTGTACCCTCAGAGGAACAGGCCAGTCTTCTTGCATGTTTGCATTTAAGGGACATCTCTTCTATTACACCCTGACTCTGCGGGGGAACAGATTCCAAGCACGCGTTCTCTGCGGTACCTAGGAGGCCCTCACGGACAGCTTGCCTGGTTAATACCGTTCCCTCTGCCTTGGAAGCCTCTTCTCTTTTGGTGCAAATCCTTTCCAGTCTTTAAGTGAGGCCCTTCCAAATAGTAAAACTTCTATCTCTGCCTGAAAGAGATGTCACAGGCCTCTGACCACCTGATTTGCATACTTCCCTTCTACTTTGCATCAGAGTCTATAATTATGTTTTTTCTCTCCTGGTCATTTGCAAACTTCTTGAGGACAAGAAAGAGTCTGGGCCTCTGAAACCAGTCTGGCTTTGAGTCATGGGTCAGTCTCTTGCCTGTGTGGTTGTGTGACCTTGGACAAGTTAGTTCACTTCTTTATACCTTAGTTTGCTCTTATGTTAAGTGGCGATAATAGTATCACGTATAGGGGGACTTCCCTGGTGGCGCAGTGGTTAAGAATCCGCCTGCCAATGCAGGGGACACGGGTTCGAGCCCTGGTGCCACAACTACTGAAGCCCACACGCCTAGAGCCCGTGCTCCGCAAGAAGAGAAGCCACCGCCCTGAGAAGCCCGTGCTCCGCAACGAAGAGTAGCCCCCACTCCCGCCGCAGCTAGAGAAAGGAGAAAGCCTGCGTGCAGCAAGGAAGATCCAATGTAGCCAAAGAATACTTACTGTTAGCTGTTACTATTAATATTCTCCTTTGTGCATTATTTATCTAGTGCTGTGTAACAAATTACCTCAGAATTTAGAAACTGAGAACAATTATAAACATTTGTCATCTTTCATAGTTTCTGTGGGTCAGGACTTGAGGTGCAGCTTAGATGGGTGGTTCTGACTTGGGATCCCTTATAAGGTTGCAGTCCAGATGTCAAGCTGGGGCTGCAGTCATCGGAAGGATTTCCTGGGGCTGGAGGACCCACGTTAAAGCCATCAATCCTTTCCATTTGGGCGTTTCCACAGGGCTGCTCTGATGTTTTTGTGACATGGGGCTTCCTCCAGAAAGAGCAAAATTCAAGTGCCCAGAGCAGAAGCCTCAGCACCTTTTATGACCTATAGCCTCAGAAGTCAAGTACCATCCCTTCCGCCACGCTTATTGTTCACACGGACCGGCTGTCCCTGATTCACCTGGGAGAAGACTACACTGGGGCATGAACCCCAGGAGGCTAGGATCTTCAGGGTCATTCGTGGGGGCTGGACGTCACATTTTAGCCTGTTTTGCTCTAAGGGAGTTAGTACCAATAGGAGGCTCTAGCAGTCGCAGACATTGGGAAGCATGCTGGCTAGAGAAGAATTCCAAGGAAGAAGGAAGAAATGAACCAAAGAAAAGATTTCTTCAGCCTCATCCCTTGCTTCTTCTGCCCTTGCACTCTCAGCTTAAGCCAGACTAAACCCACCTGGCTCTTCTGTCTCATTTCAGCGCCCGTGCACCTAGCTTTTCTCTTTGAAAGCGTCTCCTCTCCCCTTCACTTGGCTTCCTTCCTATCAGAATTCAGCTCTCAAGCTTAGACCCTTCTACTTCCTCTAGGGAAACGTTCCCTGATTCCCTTCGGCTGTCACTGCTGTGTGTACTTTGTCTCCTTCCATGGACCTTATCCAGTTTTTGGAAGTTGAGGCATCTCCAAGTGAGGAGAACAGCTGATGAAAAGGGACAGAGCAAGGTGGAAGAAATTAGCGTGGTATGTTCTCTAACAGAAAGTTCCAGAAGAACTTTTGGCGATCATGGAATCTTCTCTCAGTGCAAAAGTCACTAGCCACGTGGGCCTATTGAACACATGTAATGCAGCTAGTGTGACTGAGGAACTGAATTTCATTGACAAACTCAGGAACTGAATTTTAAATTTTATTTAATTTTAATTAATTTCAATTTAAATACCCATACGTGGCTAGTGGCAACTGTGTTGTCCTACACAGGCCATACGGGAAGACACCTGCTTAAACAGAGTACTGGGTGGCAGAGAGAGTGGCGGCTAAGCTTTGCTATGTAGAGGGTAGGCTCCTTCAGACTGGAAGGGACCATAATAAACTAAATCCAGGGCATTGAAAGTGTTGGCCCACTGTGATGATGCCACCCTAATACATCCCCTGCAAGGCTATTTGTAACTAAGCTGGATGCTTAGAACAGTGAAAGGGTCTCAAGATACTAGGGACTGGTTCTCTGATGGCAAAATCCAGAAAAGTATTTTTTTGCGGGGGGGGGGGGTTGCCTACATCTGCCACCTAGGTTCAGGGTCAGAGCCACTATCTTTTAAGAGGGTCAACACTTGTGATGGCTGTGTCCAAATTTGCACCTTCTAACACCAGTCAAGAAATAGCTTTCTGTCCTCCCTTCCTCCCTCTCTCCCTTCCTTCCTTTCACAGATTTGTGTTAGGCTTTGAGAAGAGATGGTGGAACAGTGTAGTATCTTTTTCTTGAAAAGCTCACAGACATAAGAGGATAATAAAAATGTCCACACACTAGCTAGTTGCCAGATGTTCTGGATTCTGCTGCCAGACTAGCTCTCCGTGCCTCAGCTATCCCGTTTGTAAAATGACAGGGCGGGAGAGTACCTCTGAGGTCTCTGCCCTCTCTAACTTCCTGGGTGCTTATGTAATGTAATCAAAATCATAATGATAATAAAAACAGCAGCCACATTAACCGAGTGCTTAAGTTCCAGGCACCCTGTGCGCTCAGTGCTTCATCATCGCCGTTTCACTCAAGTCTCAGGGCTGTTTTACAAACTTCCATTTTGCGGATGAGGTAACTGAGGCTACCGAAGTTTAAGTACGTCAGACAGGGAGTAAACAGTTGAGTTTGGCTTTAAATCCAGCCGGTTCCATTGCCTAAGCTTTTCATTCCTTTGCTGTGTGCCTTGCTTCTCTTCAAGGGTGAGTCATCGACGAGCTTTGGATTGAGGCAAGGAGGTATTTTTGCTACGATTACTAGTAATACTGAGTGCTTTTAAAATGCGTACTCTGACCGCTAAGTGTACACACTCACCTGGTTTTCGCAGCCACCTTATAGGGTGGTCCATACTAGTGCTTTCACCGTACAGATGGGGAAAGTGAGGCTCAGAGAGGCTCAGTAAATTGCTCAAGGTCACACAGCTAGCAAATGGCAGGGACTCACATCCAGGGGGTCTGCGCCCCACCCCCCCTGCCTAGACCACTCCGTCTCCAGGTCGGCGCAGGTAGCTAGGGCCATTCCGGGGGAGAGGCGGGGCTACTGCCCCTGCCGGGTCTGCGGGGGACTGCCGGGGGCCAAACGCCTCACCGCGCACGCGCTCTCGGGTTCCGGGTCTGGGCGCGCCGCGGGCGCGAGGACGGCGGCGGGGAGCGTGCGCGCGATGACGTGCCGGGCGCCATGTTGGAGGGCTGGTGGTAGCGGCTCGGGGAGGTGCTCGCTCTCTCGGTCTCTCTCTCTCTCGCTCGCTTCCCCCGGCTCCCTTCGGTGCCCCCCCCGGTCGCCTGCGTGCCGGAGTGTGTGCAAGGGAGGGGGAGGGCGTCGGGGGGGTGGGGGGAGGCCTTCCAGTCCCCGGGAGACCCGCGGAAGGAGGCGGAGGCTGCGAGGGACTCCGTGAAGCCATGGACGTCGAGAGGCTGCAGGAGGCGCTGAAAGGTGGGGGTAGCTGCCCCCTCTCCCTTCCTTCTCACCCTCCGCGGTCCTGTCTCCCTTCGGGGCAAGTGGTTCCGTGGGGCCGGGCCGGGCTAGGGGGGGAGGGCGCGCTTCCCCGGCTCCCATCCCCCTCCCGCTTCCCCGGGGGCGGGGAGCCCCGTGGGCAGCTCCCTCCCGCCCTGCTCTGGGCTTTGTGTCGGCGGCCGGCGTCTGGGCTGGGGGAGGGGAGCCGGGAAGCTCTCGCGGGGGCCCCGGCCCCTCTCGCACTCCCGGGGCACGGGTCTTGGGCCCGCAGCTCCCTCCCAGGCTGGCTTCGTTCTCCATCAGGCCCCCGCACGCCGGGCCACGGCGAGGAGAAGAAAAGTGAAAGGTTTGGGGGTGGGGGAAGAGAGGGGGCGGCAAAGCAACTTTCAAGTGTCTCAGCGAGCCTTGTTCAGGGCTTCTGAAGTCATCTTTCCACGCGCCCTCATTCTCAGGTGGTCGCCTTCCCGGCTCTGAATTGCTCGCCTTCCAAGCAACAGGCTTGAGAACAGTGGTTCTCAAACTTAGGAGAGCATGATTTCAACGTTCTGAGGATTAGGCTTTGATACCCAGGGTCATTGGGGGACGGCTACGAGAGGGAGCTGGTGTTTTCTTAAAACGCGGATTTATGAACTTCACGTAAACAAACAGTCTGTGGGGTCGGGATCTGGGGTTTTTGTATTTTAGCCGGTCTCTGAGATGAATGTGGTCCTGGTGTTCCCCCGGACCACACTTTGAGAAGCACTGCGTTGGGACTGGTTTGCGGCGAAGTTGAGTGCCCCCTTTAGGAGGGCTCTCGTTACCTGTGAAGAGTGACGTTTGAAATTGGAGAGTAAGAGGTGGATGTTTCGTTGAGAGGCTTTTTTAAATTAAAAAAAATTTTTTTTAATTGCTGCTTAATATGAGGAAGGACTGAGAGGAAAGTTTGTTGTTAGAAGGCATTGGAAATGGTTGGTGGACTTTTAGAAATACTAATAACTTTTCTTTCTTCCCTTATCTAGATTTTGAGAAGAGGGGGAAAAAGGAAGTTTGTCCGGTCCTGGATCAGTTTCTTTGTCATGTAGCCAAGACTGGAGAAACAATGTGAGTTGAAAACATGTAATCGTTGTTATAGATCTGTGTATCCTTCAGAATTGCTCAGGAAAGGGACAGAAGTGTATTTCAGAAGCAATGAATACTCCATCTGTCTAAACTGCGCAAGCTCCAGTAATTTAAAGCATTTACTAAGTGTATATGCTTTATTTACTTCATATGTGCTGTGTAACGAATATTAAACCTTTGTTAAAATTTTATTTATGCTTTTGCGCATTTAGAATGTGTTAGTCTAGAAGAGCCAGCGAAAAAGAAGAATGCATATTCCATTATGACTGTTTTTGGCCATAACAAACAGGCTTATTTCCCGAATTTTGTGGCTTTGATTCTGTTTCAGATTCTTTTATTGGTGGTATTTTCTCATATTGCCCTGTATCCAACCTTTTGTTGTCATATTTATATATGTGGGTGCTTGAAGTGTCACTTATATTTATTCTCTTGAGCACTCTGGGTGACTATCTGACAAATTCCAGATGCTACAGTCTTGACTGACCTGTAGACTTTCTAGGATAGCTAACTTGTTAACACACACTCAGCATTTTATTAGGCTTGTTTCCAAATGCTGTGAATCTGAAACTTATACTATGAAGTTAGCACTGTTTTCAGGGGAACATTTCAGTTCATTGTTGTGTGTGTAGTTGTTTGGCAGGAGTTGTTTTCACACTCAGGCTAACTTTATTTGTAGAGAGCAGTGCAGATTTGGTGCCTTGTAGCTTTTGTGTAGGAGGCAGTGAACAGGAAGGGGAGAGGTTTTTTGGGGGGGTACTTTTAAAAAGTGGGCTTTCTTTTGGCTCCTCTACTTCATGTCTAGTTTTTAAATTCTTTTTGAGGCCTAATAAAAGAGTGTAAGCTTCAGCAAATGATGTATACTTTCTTTGGCTTTATTAGCAAATGTTCATTTCTCACAAGATTTGCTTATGGTTGCAGCGTAGCCTTCTAATAACTGGCCTGATTTTAGAAAGGGGGGAAAAAAACCCCTCTTTAATGGTCTTGCAGACAAGCTGAAACTCCTTGGTGCTTATTAAAATTACCAGTCACCTTAGGAATGTGACTGTGATGTGTTCAATCTTAAATTTCTATTTAGTGCTTTTAAAAAATGGAACCCTTCAGGAAAGAAAGGTAATTTTTGCCTCTGAATTATATTCTCTTAGAACATCTTGATTTTAAAAACTTGATGCAGGATAATTTGTATTTGTATTGATTGCTAGTTGGTCCGAACTTATAGCTCTCTACAGTATCAAGAGGAAAAGCATTTTACTTCATAGTTTTGATAAACAAGATTATTTGGAGTTAAATACTTAACACCTCTTACCAGGTGTGTACAAACTGCTGTCCTTTTTTTTTTTTTTTGCGGTACGCGGGCCTCTCACTGCTGTGGCCTCTCCCGTTGTGGAGCATAGGCTCCGGACACGCAGGCTCAGTGGCCATGGCTCACGGGCCCAGCCGCTCCGTGGCATGTGGGATCCTCCCGGACCGGGGCATGAACCCGTGTCGCCTGCATTGGCAGGCAGACTCTCAACCACTGTGCCACCAGGGAAGGCCATGCCTTAACTTTTGATACTGAAATTTGCCGTTTCTGTCATCATTTATGGCTAAACTGAGCTTTGTCTAACTTCTAAGACTGTAAATACGAGAATGAAAATCTAAAAGATAGCAGTTCAGATCTTTTTGATGTTTTAGGATGGATGAGTTTCTTAAGGTAAGAATTGCTGGATTTTTTTCCGCATTTCTGTTTTTAGAAAATAGCTTTACTTAATAATGCTTACTTTAAAAAAGTTCACTTATTGAACACAGTAAGCTTAGTTTACTAGAAGTATATAGTTTGGTAAATTTTGGCGTCTACACTCATGAAACTAGCACCACACTCCAGATGGAGAATATATCCATTACTGGAAGAAGTCTCCTCATTCCCTTTGTAATCTCCCCTCCCTGTGTGTGCTCTCCTCCCCGCAGGCAGCCAGAGATCTGCTCTTTGTCACTGTAGGTCAGTTAGCATGTTCTGGAATTTTATATAAATGGAATCATACAGTATATTCTTTGTCTGCCTCTTTTTACTCCGCATAATTTGAGATTGATCCACGTTGTTCAGAAATCAACAATTCATTCCTTTTTATTTCTGAATTGTATTCATTACATGGGTATCCTACAGTTCTTGCTTCATTCACTGGTTGATGGGCATTTGGGTTATTTCCAGTTTTCTTTTTAAATTTATTTTATGTATTTATTTTTGGCTGCATTGGGTCTTCATTGCTGCGCACTGTGCTTTCTCTAGTTGCAGCGAGTGGGGGCGACTTCATTGAGGTGCACAGACTTCTCATCACAGCGGCTTCTCTTGTTGCGGGGCATGGGCTCTAGGCGCGCGGGCTTCAGTAGTTGTGGCTCGTGGGCTCTAGAGCACAGGCTCAGTAGTTTCGGCTTGCGGGCTTAGTTGCTTCACAGCATGTGGGATCTTCCCTGACCAGGGCTCGAACCTGTGTCCCCTGCATTGGCAGGTGGATTCTTAACCACTGTGCCACTCCGGAAGCCCCAGTTTTTTCTTTATTAAACAAAGCTACTGTGAATGTTTGTGTATGTGTCTTTGTATGCATTCTTTTTTTCTTGGGTAAAAATCCATCCAGGAGTGGAATAGTTGGATCATATGGTACACATATGTTTAACTTTAGAAACTCCTGAACTGTTTTCTTGAGTGATTGTGCCAATTTGCTTTTCCACCAGTATCATGGGAGTTGAGATCAGTTTCTCCATATCCTTTCCAACACTTAGTACGATCGATCTTTCTCACGTTAGATATTCTAATAGGTGCCTATTGTATAGTGGTTTTAATTTGTATTTGCCTAATGACTAATGATGTTGAGCATCTTTTCGTCTATTTATTTGCTGTTTGTATATCTCCTTTAGTAAATTGATTCTTCACATTTTTGCCCGTGGTAAAATGGGGTTGTTTGATTTGTTATTGGGTTTTGAGAGTTCTTTATATGTTATGGATACAAATTCTTTATTAATGTGGTTTACAAATACTTGCTACCACTGTGTGGCTTGTCGTTTTATTCTCTTGACAGTGTCTTTTAAAGTGAAATTTTAAATTTAATTCCATTTTGATTTTTTAAAATTTCCTCTCTTGAAGGATTCTTACTGCGTTGTGTGTTGTGATCATTTGTTCTTGTGTGCTTTTTAGTTTAGTCTTTATTTCCTGAAGTAATTCTTTTCTGATTCTTTGCTGTATTCTATTGCTTCATTTTCTGAGTTTCTCTAATTCTGACTTGTATCATTTTTCTCAGTGTGTTTAGCTCATTTTGAAAATAGTATAAGGTTGTGATCTGTTTCTGAGCAAGTCTTTCTAGCTTCCCTTTTCTGTCTTGAGAGATGTTATTTTGCTCCTTATTCTCCTTTTTTCTTACAACAATTTCATATTAGATTTGACCTTGATATTTTTCTGTTTTTCATTTTGATGTGAAAATAGTTTTTCTGCACTTTGAGGAGGAGGCATGCTTCAGAGTAGCTGTCCTTAACTTCACAGAGTTTGCTCATTATTTTTGTGAAGTGTTAGAATATGGAGTGTTCTTTCTGAAATTTCTAGGCTCTGTTCTATCAATACTTTTATTTGGACCTTGTCTTTCCTTCATCTCTGTTGTCTCTTTCTCTTGTCTTTGGGGTCTCCTCTGGATGGGAGCTCTGGTGGGTCACTTTCAAGAGCTCATGAAGCAAGGCTTTGTCCCTTTCAGTCCTTACTGGAGGTCCTTTCTCTTCACTTATTACTGTGAGTGGGCAAAACCTATCTCAGTTTCAGCTACTGTTCTCACATTGACCTGGCATGATTTCTTGTGAACACCTGTTGGCTATTTTGTGGTTCTCCTATTTGTAGGCCCTTCCGGTTCACTACGACTTCTGTTTTCTCTTGTACAGATTCTGATAATGGTACAGGTCATGTGACCATAGGTTTTTCCTCATTAACTTACATTTTGGGGTTTGTGAGATAACCTTGTCAGGGAGTTTTGTTGTAAACATTTTTGCTTATTGGTTTTGGGTTTGCTGTCTAGTTACGTTTGACATAAGGGGTTTTGGAGAGGTGAAAAATTGTAGCACCTCTGCCATCCCCTCAGAATTACACTATTTAGGAGAACTTTTTCTTTTTTTTTAAATTTATTTTTGGCTGCGTTGGGTCTTTATTGCTGCACGCAGGCTTTCTCTAGTTGTGGCGAGCAGGGCTACTCTTCGTTGTGGTGCGCGCGCTTCTCATTGCAGTGGCTTCTCTTGCTGCGGAGCACAGGTTCTAGGCACGTGGGCTTCAGTAGTTGTAGCATGAGGGCTCAGTAGTTGTGGCGCACGGGCTTAGTTGCTCCTTGGCATGTGGGATCTTCCCGGACCAGGGCTCGAACCCATGTCCCGTGCATTGGCAGGCAGACTGTTAACCACTGCGCCACCAGGGAAGTCCCTAAGAGAACTTTTTAAGTCAGTCCCTGTTAAGTTAGTTTCCCCATCTATAAAAGGGAATAGTAATAGTACCTCATAGCATGACTGCATAATACACGGAAATACACTGCTTCATAAACAGTGCTAACATTATTTATTTACTCAATAAATAGTAGTTGTTATTGTGTTGATAATGCTTATATTGAGTCTACTTTTTTTCCCTCCCTGCAGTTTCAAACTCTTTGTGTTCAGCCATTTTGAAATACTACTAAGAAAATAAAAGTTACTTAAAAAGTAGTAGTAATCAACAACTGAGATCTGCATTATTATAAATAAAATCTCCTTAAGTCCATGTGACTGTTAGATCCTTCTTCTGTGGCTTTCTTTAGGGAGGGAATTTTGTTTTGTCTAACATAGTATCAACCGCTTGAACATTATTTCTAAAATGTCAGTTTCACATACTACCTTTGGGATTTTTTGCCACATCCTTGTAGCATCTGTACAATTATTTACTTAATGTTCTTTTTGAGGTCAGCTTACTTTTCTTCAGATTTTTTTAAGATGGAAGAATACTACAGATA